CGGGAAGGAGATAGCACGGTTCCTCAACCCCATCCACCGCAGCAGCCGGGGCCTCTCCCCATCCTCAAACCACACACCACCGAAACCACCGCTACCCCGGCGACCAACAACCCGACTCCACCGGAAGCTCCGCCAGATACAGAAACTCTCGACGAGGAAGCCAATCGAAGCCAGAAATAGAGAAATAGAGGGCTTACCATCAACCATCAAAGGTCTGCCAACGACCGGGAAGCATGACACCTATGATCAACCCGAATCCGACCAAGAAGACGACACCTCCACATGCTAATCCGTCGTCGATTGAGAGCCATTTCTCACCAAACCGCAGCAATTTCGGGGCGCATAGATTCCAGAACGGGAAGAGCGGTTAGGGGCAACCCCTGGTCGAGCCCCACTGGCGCCAAGGGAGGCAAATCAGTGTCTTTTCTTCGCGGCGGCTAGATTAAGATTTTTCCTTTTGCTTCGCAGAGAGATATATTCATTAATATTTATAAATTAAAATGCTCATTAAATAATATTAATTATAAATTAAACATATAGAATCAATATGTAATGCAAATTACTGGCCTATATTAATTTATTAAAAATGTTATATGAAATTTAAATTGTGTAAAATTATATAAAACATGTCTGTTTAAAATCAATACACGTCCCGTGCGGTGCACATAACTTATAATAAATTACACTACATTCATTTCAAAATAAATGTCATTTTAAATTTTTTATTCAAAAATTCGATTTGACTATAATGTGATTCCATAAAATATTTATTTTGGTAAAATTATATATTTGAATTGAGGTTGATAGAATTTTTTTAAAACATTTGTAGGAGTATTGAAAATAAAATTTTATTTGGGTGTTGTTTTGTTGGCGGTAAACTATTATAGTTGTCCAACCATTAATTTAATGTTTTACCTCTTTTTTTTTTTAATTTCTTAAACAATGGTGGAAATTAATAAATATAATCAATTTTATGGAATATAGAAATTAACGTCTTTCAACTTATTTTTAATAATATATCTTCTAACTTGATATATAAATATTTTTTCGACACAAATTGTTTGTATATATCTACTTAAAAATGAACTAACTCAAAATTTTACAACATGCAGAGACCAATTCAATTCAAAATTAGAAAATCACATCGCATTGATTTAATAACAAATCAACTAATTCTATTTTCATACCCATACCAAGTAAAATTAATACCAACTATTTTATTTTCAAAATTTTCAAATACATTTCTATCCATACCAGTAAATTTCACACCATTTAAATTCAGACATTTCATACTAAAATAAAATCGTACATTTTACACCATAAATTCAGACATTTATTAATAACAACATATGATAGTATATAATCAAATGTAATATACCGGATATACAATTTGTTTTAAAAGTAATAAAATATATATTCATTATATATAGTTAGGTTTCGTAATTATTGCTACCATATATTTATTAGTTAAGATTTATATGTTTACCATACAACATGTACTATTTTTGCTCAATATATGGTCGTAAATAAATTGTATAGATAATGACTATATATTACAATTTATTATTATAGATAATAATACAAAAATAGAGCAATCTATTAGATAAACATATTTTGTAATTTCGACATAATATACATGATACAACTTATTTTAAAAGAAATAAAATATAAATTTAGAATAAATCACGAAAAATGTGCCATTTAATTGGTCAATCATTTTTATGCTTGGAAATACTTCCAAATGCAATTTCAATGATTTTCATACCAAAAACTGAGTATTCCAATAGAATTTCATACTAAAAATATTTCATCAACTTTATACCATAAATTACTTTATTACTTTCCCAATATAGTAAAAAATAATTTTTTTTTTTTTTTCGGGAAACAATTACTATTTTAAAAATAGTCAAACCTTTTTATATATATAGATATGGAAAAGTAATACATGTATCTATACTTATATTATAAGCAAACCTATTTACTAAATTCAGTATGTTGAATAGTCAATATTAATTAATGGCTTTCTAATCTTATCAAGTGCATTAATTACGTGTAGTTTGGTAAAAAAAAAAAATCTGATAAAATCAATAAATAAAACGTGTATAGTAAGATTTGATCACAAATCTTTTCTTATCTTTTTTCCAATTTGGACGTGTATTTTTTTTTTATTTCAGATTTTTTTGTTTCTAAAAT